AAGCAAGCCACCAGGTCCGAGACTTGAACCGTGGTCGGCTATGTGGGAGTCCAGCGCTTTTAACCACCATGCCACTTGCCGGTCCCTATTATTATTATTTTAAAAATTGCTATAAGGGCACATGCACTCACCAGAGAGAATGAGAGAGAGAAAGCAAGCCGCCAGGTCTAGGACTTGAGCTGCGGTCACCCATGTAGGAGTCTAGCACCTAAACAACCACACTACCTGCCAACCTCTTCTCTTATCTATTATTTACCTGGATGAAAATGTTCACCTTTGTGTCCAGACAGAATCTGCCTCCTCCTCAGAATAACCAAAATAATAGTCGTTTTTCTCTTTAGATTACTAGTTCACTAAATTTAGAAAAAGACAACTTCATAGACATCTATTATAGCATTCATTTTCATTACAATTGTTAAATTATCAAGACAACGATTACTTTTAATTAATTATTTTTATTTGTTTAACTAGGACTATGTTGAACAGAAAAGTGCAAGCCTATCCGCATAAGGATATTCATGGGAACCTTGTCTGTAGTAGGTGTAGCCATAAACAGCTCAGCTACCCTACACAGTAGAATGGACAAATATTAAGCTGTGGTACAACACAAATACTATACAGCAATGAAAATGAGCAAACTGCATCTGTGTTCAACAATACGAACAACAAATAGAAGAAGCAAGACAAAGGAATACATTAAGTATGATTTCATCAGGACCAGCAGTTGGTGTAATGGCTATGTCTTTGGATTCCCATGTAGTCGACTGTGGTTCAAGACCCAGACCCGGTGGCTTAAACTCACGCCAGGTGCGTGTGCGTGTGTGCCCAAGATCCCGAGAGGAGAATGGAGGAGAAGAGATTGTGGTGTGGCCATCCCCCCTGGGGGAGTGATTTCTCGCTTTCTGTCTCTCTGTCTCTCTGTCTTCCTGGTGAACGTACACACCCTATAGCAAAAAAAAAAAAAAAAAAAACAAAAAAAAAAGAAAATTTCATTTATAAAATATT